CAAATGTGTTCTGGGTGTGCCGTCCCTTGATTTTCTTGGTCACCATGTCGATGCACAAGGTTTGCGTCCCCTCTCTTTCAAGGTTGAGGCCATTCGTGACTTTCCTCCACCAACCTCCAAGCGTCAGCTGCAACGTTTCCTTAGCATGGTAAACTTTTACCGCCGGTTCCTACCGAACTGTGCCGACCTTATGCTGCCACTCACCAACTTGCTCTCTGGTCCCAAGGGTCCCCTTGAGTTACGTGGCCACGCGCTGACTGTATTTGAGAGAATAAAGACCTCCCTTGCTGATGCTACCTTGCTCACTCATCCTGCTCCAGAAGCCCCATTGTCCCTGATGGTTGATGCTTCGACCGTTGCCGTAGGAGCAGTCCTCCAACAGCATATCAACAACTCGACACGACCGTTGGCATTCTTTTCCAAGAAGCTTTCACCTGCCGAGACGAGATATAGCACGTTTGGCCGTGAACTTCTTGCCATTTACTTAGCCGTAAAACATTTCCGACACTTCCGGGAGGGTCGTGACTTCACCATTTTCACAGACCACAAACCACTTACATTTGCCATCCGATCCCATTCTGACAAATATAACCCGAGAGAGATTTCTCATTTGGATTACATTTCGCAATTCACCACCGACATCCGCCACATTGATGGCCCGAGGAATGAGGTGGCTGATATGCTGTCCAGACCCTCACTGTCTTCCCTCCAATTCTCACACGGGATCGATCTTTGTGCCATGGCGGCTGAGCAGCAGCGAGTCGGTTGTCCTGGCGACGAGTCTGTTAGTGGTCTCCAACTCAAAGACGTTCCTCTGACCACCGGCTCTGGTACCATACTTTGTGACGTCTCAACTCCCTTTCATCGCCCTTTTGTGCCCGCCTCGATGCGTCGAGCTGTATTTCAAACTCTGCATGGACTCTCCCACCCTGGGATCCGAGCCTCTCAAAAGCTCCTCGCGGAAAGGTTTGTCTGGCCTGGCATGAACAAGGACGTCGAAGCTTGGGCCCGGTCGTGCCTGAGCTGCCAGCGCAACAAGGTGCAGCGTCACAACAAGTTCCCACCAGGCACTTTCCCCAGTCCCGACGCACGGTTCAGCCATGTGCACCTGGATGTCGTAGGCCCCTTGCCTCCATCCAATTGTTTCACCTACCTCCTTACCTGTGTCGATCGATATACTCGCTGGGCTGAAGCTATTCCTTTGCCGAATGTTCAGGCTGAAACCATCGTGAAGGCTTTCGTCAGTCGTTGGGTCGCCATGTTCGGTGCCCCATCCACGGTTACGACTGATCGTGGTGCCCAGTTTGAGTCGGCTCTCTTCCAAGCGCTACTCAATTTTCTTGGCTGCACACGCATTCGGACGACAGCCTACCACCCAGCTGCCAACGGCATGGTTGAACGTTTCCATCGCCAGCTAAAGACCGCCCTGCGTGCCGTCGAAGACCCAGGAAACTGGTCGGACAACCTTCCTCTTGCACTCCTCGGCATCCGCGCAGCTCTGAAGTCGGATCTGGGCTGTAGCGCAGCTGAATTGGTTTTCGGCACTACCCTCCGACTGCCAGGCGAGATGATCATCCCAACCTCTCGTGGAGCCGACGAGACTCCTGACAATCTTGTGCACCGTTTGCGGCAATTCATGCGCTCGCTTTCCCCGGTTCCACCTCGAACTCCTATGACTGAGTCTTATGTCGAAAAAGACTTGGACAACTGTACTCATGTGTTCGTCCGGTGTGACCGTGTGCGCCAGCCGCTGGAATCACCTTACGAAGGACCGTTCCGTGTGCTCGCGCGCAACGCCAAAACCTTCCGGATTCTTCGCAGTGACAAGGAGGACGTGGTCAGTGTCGATCGGGTCAAGGCTGCTGTTGCAGAGGAACCGCCGGACCGGTCACAAGGACAAACATGTGCTGACCCCCTAACCCCTGTTCCTCCATCTTCCCTATCCCCTACTCGTTCACCCTGCCCACTGCCTTGCCCTTCCCCTCCCTTGCCCTCCACCTCTCCGTCCCGCATACTTCCTCTCCCTACATGTCAACAGCATCCAACTGCAACACCATCGTCCACCACAGCACGCAGTCAACCCTATTCGACTGTACCTCCTGCATACATAACTCGCAGTGGACGTCACGTTCATTTTTGCGATCGTTTAGTTACCCATTTTTTCTAGACTTGTGCATATCCTCCGGCGCCGTATCCCGACGCCCTCCGGTATAGAAGAGGGGTAATGTGGTGAGGTACCTGACTGATTGACCTTTGACAACTTGGCCCCTTTTTCTTTGACCGCATTGCTTGTTTGAATGTGACGTAAAAACGACACACCTGCACAACCCGCCTTGCTAGCGTGATCTGCTGTGGTATTCTGTTGTCAGTTTTCTTAACGTTCTAAAACCTCTATATTATTCACTGCTCCGATTTACTTGCTGCATTTAAGGCTAGGGGCTCGTGAGATATAACTCGTTAGTTCGTGGGAACATTACAATTTACAACAGTACTGACTCCGCAGCCGGCAGCGTAATGGACTATTTCTTAAACCGACAGCGAGCAAATTTTCTTCTATGCAGTCTAGAGGTGTCCAGCCTCTTGAAAGGATTATTTTCAATGAAATTCTTGACTTCTGTCTAGCTAATCGGCTTCTGACCTCAGCCAGC